ACTGAGGGGGACAGGTGAGACAAATGTCCTGACTGAGGGGGACAGGTGAGAGACAAACGTCCTAACTGAGGGGGACAGGTGAGACAAATGTCCTGACTGAGGGGGACAGGTGAGAGACAAATGTCCTGACTGAGAGGGACAGGTGAGAGACAAATGTCCTAACTGAGGGGGACAGGTGAGAGACAAATGTCCTGACTGAGGGGGACAGGTGAAAGACAAAGATTGAACATAACAATAAAAGTGAAAACACAGGTCATGTTAGTTAGTTAGTTAGTTAGTTAGTTAGTTAGTTAGTTAGTTAGTTAGTTAGTTAGTTAGTTAGTTAGTTAGTTAGTTAGTTAGTTTTGTTGTTGCATCTCTGTTGCACGTGTGGGATCTAGAAAGTGCTGCTGGTTTTTTTTTGGTTGTGGGTCTGGTTCTGGTTCTTACCGTAGGTCTCTTCCAGTCCACCCCTCTGGTCTTGGAGCTCCGTGGTCCAAGTTCTTTGAAGCCCAGTGAGGCTGGTTCTGCTGGGAACACAGGGTCCTGGAACAGGGTTCTGTTCAGTAGACACTCCTCCTGCAGGGCCTGGAAGTCCTGGTTCAGGTACCGAACTGCCTGCTGGACAGAGCCAAGACCACCGGCTCGGGCCCGGTCTCCCTGGATCCGCTCCGACACACCACCAAACATCCTGGCCCAAAACCCAGCACAGACCGTGTCAGACAGTTCAGTTTTACAATACCAGACTGGGCCCAAACTACAGGACCTATCCAGAACCAGTTTACAGATGTATCACGTGCAGACGTGGATGGATGAACTGAACCTGAATGTTTGCACTTCACAGTAATGAACCCTAGCCTCAGAGTGCAGGGACACAAGGTGAGGTGGGCTGAGAGCGGAGAACCATAGGGAGCTGCTGGACCAGATGAAGTCACAGGGAAGGTCCTCTGAGAATGGGCCGACCAGCTAACTGAGGTCTTCACTAAGACCTTTAATGCTTCACCTTCCCAGTCATTCCTCCCACCATGGCTGAAGTCAGCCATAATTGTCCTGCTGCCAACAAGGATCAACATTAGCAGCCTCAATGACTACCGGCCAGTAGCTCCAGTTGTTATGAAACTGGTGCACTGCCACATCATATCCTGCCTGCTGTCTACACTGGATCAGCACGAGTTTGTATACAGAGCTAACAGATCAAAAGAGGACACTGTTGCTACAGCTCTTCATGTTAGCATCTCCCACTTGGAACAGCAGGGATGTGTCCGGCTGCCCTTCGTTGTCTTTAGCTGAGCTTTTAATATTATATGTCCAAACAAACTGACAGCAAAACTTCTAGACATTGGACTTCAATGCACCACCTGCATCTGGATCAGAAACCTCATCTTTGATCAAGTACATCATGGAGTCAGAATTGGTCCTCATATCTCCACAGCCCTCATCCTAATAATCAACTCTCCACAGGGATGAGTACCAAGTCCATGCTCTACACTCTGTACACGTGATTGCATCAGCACCCACCCACCCATCCATCCATTATCTTTACCCGCTTATTCCTTTTGGGGTCACGGGGGTCGCTGGTGCCCATGTCCAGCAATCACTGTGCGAGGGGCAGGGTACACCCTGGACAGGTCGCAAGTCCATCACAGGGCCACATAGAGACAAACGAGACAAACAACCACTCACTCTCTCACTCACACCTAGGGCCAATTTAGAGTTACCAATCAGCCTAACATGCATGTTTTTGGTCTGTGGGAGGAAACCGGAGTACCCGGAGAAAACCCAAGCATGCACGGAGAGAACATGAAAACTCCACCCAGAAAGTCCCCTGGACTGGGGTTTGAACCAAGGACCTGCTCGCTGAGAGGCAGCAGCTCTACCAGTTGCGCCACCATGCTGCACAGCACCCACCCTGAAAACATCATTATCCAGTACGCTGCGGCTGATGACACCATCATCCATACTAATGACACTATCATCCAGTACGCTGATGACACCATCATTAATTATGCTAATGAAACCAGCATAATATGTTAATATGTTTTCACCAATGAGAGGAGGACTGTAACTGCACAACAACAATCTAAAGCATAGCTCCCGCTGAAGGTTATGAGCTGAACTCGGGTCAGATCAGAACCTCAGACAGCAATCAGCACTGATGAGTGTGAGAGGAGAAACCTGATGACATCATCTGAGTCAGAAGTTCCTGTTTGCAGTGCAGGACTCTGAACGCCTCACTGGTAAACAATCTGTCAACAATCTGCCAACAATAGATAAACAATCCGTTAGCAATTGGTAAACAATA